AAGGAGGACGATGGCACACTGGATTGATTTTTAAGAGTTAGGGCGGCCTATTTTTCTTCTTAGCCTTGAAATGCTCTGGCCAAAATTTAGCAGAAGAAATGGTGTCAAAATGAGTTGGGGAGACACCTATCTTAAATCTCCCTGGCATAAGAGAAATTTACTTTTCCACCTTTAAACCGACGGCTTTTATTTTGCTAGCTACATCATTAGATGTGAGGTCAGGGGCCAGCCGTGAAACAAAAACTTGTCGTTTTGGTGGGATGGCCACCAGTGGTTTAAGCACCACAGGTCTAGTACCTGTGGTGACAATATCCGGAGGTCCGAAACGTCTACTTTCGAGCTTGCGGACACCACGGACACGGATGCTGCAAACGCACTTGGCGATGGCTTTCTCCGAGGCGATGAATTCGGCTACCGAATCTGCATCTCCAAACGAGATCAACTGCTGCACACTTGGAGTGCTCGGAGTCAATTTTTCGGCCGCCAGCGGCTGAGTGCCAGTTGGCACTTGCAGATCCCGCGGAGTGACCCTTTTACGCCTCGGAGACTCATTCAGCAGTTGCAGGCTGCCAAACTGAGACATGGCTAGGAGTGCAAGCCATTACGTTTGGAGATGGCATCACTCATGAGACCCGTAAACCCAGCGTATTTTGCGTGCACTACGCTGTCGCAGCGCCAGCAGGGACTCCTCGGCTGATCATGGAGGATCTCTTTGCGACAAGTTTTTTTAGCACATACAACACAAAACTCCATAATAAAAATAGCAAATAACAAAAAAAAAAAATCGAATAATATTTCAAAACAAATAACTATCTAATAGGAGGATAGGAGAACAGTTGCAGTAGCTAATCAGAGAGAGAGAGAGAGCTTCTCAAGAGAATGGGAGAGAGTGATAATATAATAAAACCTATTAGACGAGAGCGGGCTGTAATGCAATATAGTGCCTACTCACGGAAACAACACAAACACGACATACTGACGACGAAAAATAAATTGTTTAATAATGTTTTAACACAAACCAAAAGGCAAGCACTCGCGGAATAGAACAGATTTTTAGATTGTAGGCTGGTTAGGAAGCTAATCAAAGTTTATTTACGAAAACACTGGCTGTTTATGCAAAACAAAAGGAAAAAATACGTAGCGCAAAACAAAAACGCGCCTGGTGACTACGAAAGAGAACGATTGAATGAACTCTACTACACTAATGTCTGCTGATGATGCTAAAATCTCCCTTACTCTGATTGGTATTTGAAAACACGATTTCAACTGGATCTAAGTGAACTACTATTGTGGTGTTCAACTAATCTTCTTTTTCTGAACCTTCCTAAATGCAAACTTATGACATTTTACCGTTGCGCTCTACATTTATTGGAGTATTGTTCTTGTGTGTGGAGCCCGCAGTATAATGAGCAGCAGGTTGTTATTGAACCCGTGCCCTTGAATTTTCGCCCTACGATACTTAAACTGGGACTCGGGTAGAATCTTGCCACCCTACCGGTCTAGACTAAATCTAATGGACTTACCGTCGTTGCACTATCGCAGAATATGTAATGGGGTAATGTTCGTGCACAAGCTCATTATCGGGATTGTTGACTCCCAAACTCTCTTGGGTCAGATTGACTTTGCCGTTCCACCTAGACCTACCAGTACTTTTAGGACAATCCGATCAGCCATATGTAGATCTAATTATACTCAAAATGAACCTTTTAGGGTTGTATGCCACAACTATAACTCTATAAATCCCTTGTTCAGATCTTGTAAAAATTTGTTGGGCGATGGTGGAAAGCTGAAAGAAATTGATTTAACAGTTCCTGAAGAACTTTTGTATTTTCTTTTGTTATCAAGACACCCCGACGCTTACGAAAATGTCGAGGTAGTAATGGAGACACAGGATTTTCTGCCAAATTTTAACTCTCTAAGAGTAAACCTCCGTAAAGAAGGAGACAGACTCAAGTGAACATCGAGCGCTCGGGTCGTGTGATAAAAATTGGTCGTTGTCCAAAGAAAAGAAATTCGTCACGGACACAAGGCCTCAAAGTGTAGAGCAGAGAACAATCGAGAAAACAACCCGAAAGGGAATAACGAAACCAAAAGAAAACGAGGGGGAACGTTGTGAGTTGCTGCGGACACCGCAACTCTACAGTTATACCCGATACTAAGCCAGTATGGCTCTCCTCCGGCAGACGCCGCTAATATTAAACGACACGACAAAGAGTGCGTGCGAGAGAAACAGAAAATCAGTCTGAGCGTGACGTCACGCGCTGCGTAGCCACTGCAAATTGATTTGTTTCCTTTGGCTATAAAAATGATCTGATCTGATCCAGATTCTGCAATCGGATAGATATGGTCGTTATCTATGATTCTGCGTTTTTAGTTTTCTCAAATCTGCAATATTGTGGATGCAACAGATTTTCGTCCTTTGTGTGGGCGGAAGGGGGTGGGGCGAAATTTTGAGATAAAGGTTTTATAGTGAGATCTAACAGAAGTGCGGATACCAATTTTGGTTACTCTAGCTTTAATAGTCTCTGAGATTTGTGAATATCCCCAGATTTGCATAATTTGCGGGGCTATAATAATAATACGATCCAGTTCAGATTCTGCAGTCTAAAAGATATGGTCGTTCTCTACGATTCTGCGTTTTTGGTTTTCTCGTATCATCGAAATTGTGGATGCCACAGATTTTCGCACTTTGTGGGGGCGGAAGTGGGCGGGGCAAAGTTTTGAAATATTTTTGTAGCAGTGACATATCACAGAAGTCTGGATCCAAAACATCGTTGCTCTAGCTCTTATAGTCTTTGAGCATTAGGCGCTGAAGGGGACGGACAGACGGACAGACGGACGGACGGACGGATGGACAGACGGACAGACAGACATGGCTCAATCGACTCGGCTATTGATGCTGATCAAGAATATATATACTTTATGGGGTCGGAAACGATTCCTTCTGGACGTTACACACATCCACTTTTACCACAAATCTAATATACCCCAATACTCATTTTGAGTATCGGGTATAAAAATCGTACTCCGTTTTTAAGTGCGCGAATAAAAAACTTTCTACGAAGAGAGATAGTGGGCCCACGGCTCACTTATGTTGTGATAGGCTCCGATTCTCTGAACTAAGAGAGCACAAAGGGCGAGTTAGTTTAGCGGGAAATATCTAAAGGGCTGGGCACAGTGGACAGTGTCCTAGCTGATCGGAAAAGATTTCTCAGTTGAGTTCACAAAGAAAAAAGCTTGTACGAGGAGTACTTCGGGAGTAGCAAATAAAAATGAAAGTTGTTTATTGCTTTTCAAAATATTTCCCCTGATGATCAATACACTTTCGCATTCGTTCCATCCATCGGTCATAACAGTTTTTCCATTCCTCTTGAGAAACCTCATAAAACATGGTTTTTTAACTCTTTAACTGCTTCTTCGGCGCTCGTAAATTCTTGACCATGCACTATAATTGCCAAGTCAGGACTGTAGAGCGGATGAGTCATCAATTCGATGTTCCGACTGTTTACAAATTCGAAAAATGTTTCTCGAGATGTGTGAGAGCTGGGATCGTCATGATGGAGAATGATTCGTGTTCGGCAGTTGGTTTTGTGGCCGTGTACCACTCATAATTGACAATCCTACGTTGATCCAGCGGAACAGTATCCACATGGCCCATTCTCCCGAAGAAACAGGCGACCATTTGCTTCGAAGTGCTTCGTGCAAGTACAACTTTTGTTGGATTTGGCTCATCTTGGAACACCCACACAGTCGATTGCTGTTTACTTTCCGGCTCATACGCATGTATCCATGATACATCACCTGTCATGATTTTATAATCCTCTTTTGAAGCACCACGGTCGAACTTTTCAAGCATTTCCTTACTCCAATCGACGCGAGCCTTTTTTTGAGAGATTGATAAGTCCGGGGTCCAACGAGAACAAACCTTTTTTACAACTATGTAAGTGTTCATGCAAAGTGGAATGAATTGAAGTGGAACTAATGTGCAAAGATGCCTCTATCTCACGATATGTCGCATTTCGATCTTGCACTATCAGTTCACGCACACATCGATGTTTTGACGCACAACAACCGATCTTGGACGACCATAAATTATAAAGAAAAATAAGGGCATCGTCATAATGGTTGCAGAAAAACAACACTAATTGTTTTTGTTTGAAAATCAACAAAAGAAATTTTTTAATTATACCAACAAATCCGGTAGCACGATCGTTTCGGACAGTTATGGAAGCCTAAAAAAGTTGATTTGTGACAAATTGATGCACGGTATCAAAGCAAGGAAATGAAAGGTGTGCGAAAACTGCGCAAAACGCATGATTGTGAAACAATTTCAGGTGCAAAAATCAGGTGCAAGCCGCTCAAAAAATGTTCTCGGATTGGAACATACAGACATGTGCGGACCAATGAATAAAAACTCTTTAGGCCTTCGTTCCTAACATTCATCCATGATAAATCGCGAATTGTGTTTTTGTTGATTTTTCAAAGACAAAAGACGAAATCTTAATCGGAAAATTATCGGGCAAGAAATTAGTACTATTGAGAAGCGATAACGGTCGAGAATTTTAAAGATTTCTGGTTGATAATGGGGTGAAAAGACAATTAACCGTGCTCATACCCCGCTAGAGAGATACTCTAGTAAATGGCAAGCAGCCAAAGCCAAACCAACTTCCAAACAGAGCTGCTGCAATGTTCAAAGAGCATTGTATAATTATGTATCGCCAATTTATGAATTTCCACTTCTGAAATATCATGATTCAGAAAATAGACCTGAAAGTTGCAGTACTTATATGGTATAAGTATGATATGCTTTCATGCAACCGTTACTCGATATAACTTGTGAGAGGTAGCTTTCAACATATCCTCGCCTTCTGCCTTCCGGGCCATACAAAAAATCTTTCTACGACAATATATATTTTTTTAATTTGTACATATCCTGATTATCAATGATTAAAATATTACAGAAAATATGTTCAAAATTTATTTCAAAATGTTATACATACCAGCTCTGACCACAACATCTTTGGATATAATGGTTCCAACACTGTTACTTGCAGTACAACGATAGATTGACCAATGTACATCCTGACGAAACTCTTCAGCAGCAAAGGGTTGAAAATATAGGGAGCTATTAGCCAATATATGACGAGCCTAGAAGAAACATAAGCCGAATAACGACAGAGTAAAATATAACATTAAGGTATCGAAGTCGTTAACTCTTATTCATCTAGGCCAACATACAATTTTTAATTAAATGCAATTTTTTTAAATTTTACTCTCGGAAGCAGATATATTTGCTTCAGTTTCGCCAACTAGCTTACACTTAAGCCTTTCAGAATTCATACTAAAATCTACTATGTATGTAACGAGTGAGCGTCAATGTATCTGTGGCCCTTACAAGCATGATCCGCCCGCTGTCCACCCAGTTTCAAGTGGTGATAGAACATAACTACCAAAATCTCCCACTCCTTACATTTACCAACAAATCAATCTGTTGCGAACTGCTACATATACCAACAAGACAGAGATATATGTGCAAATACAAATAAACATTTCACACTATTTTAGCATTCACTCTAAAATCTACTCTGTGTTCAACGAGTATGTTTTTGTCTTTGTCAATGTGCTCGCTATGACACAAACAGCTAAAGAATAGCTCAAATGTAGTCGAACTAGTAGAAAAGGGCGATAAACTGTCGGACTTTGGTCATTCGCGAGCTGTAAGACTCAAACTAACCTGATTCCAATTCCACACCATTATTACATACCACTTACATATGTCCTGTCATACTGGTAAAAGTTAATGACTCTTTCAAGTTTGCCCCCCTCACACATGTGATTCGTTAAATACCACATTATTACAAATACAACTTAACTTAATTGAAAGACTAATCAAAAATAAAAATATTATCGTTAACTACGGACACTAGGCATAAGCAACCGAATCGCGGTTGCATCGAAAGCAAAGAAAAGCTAATGTATTTTACCATTGCATTCACTGCGTGAAAAGGTAAGCCCTGGATTGGGATGTCATTAGAAATCTACTTGAATCTACTAATATATAGTGCGTAAATAGATTTTGTTTGTTTTATGAGTTTTCCCATTTTCCAGAAAACGAATTGCTGTATCGCTTTAAATTTGTGAAATACATTGGTTACAACAAATTTTATTAATATTTAGATTTATGATAGTTTTTTTTTAATCATGGAAAGTATTGTATTTTAGTCTTGCTAAATTATAAAAATCGTTCTGTGGGGGCCTCAGCGTTTAAATCAAACAGAACATTTTCAGAAAAAAACCGATGATGGACCGCGATCACGAATTTGCGTGTAGAAACTATCTGGGGGTCAACCAAGCAAGCTCTTTATTAACTGAATTTTAAAGCTTTACTTTTGCCCATACAAAATGAAAATATTTGGCATATCTGGCATTAGATATGGTCATTGACTTGATTACACGAAAATATGGCGAGTTTGTCTACAAAGAGATCGGGACTTGTAAACAGGCAAGGCCTAAGCTCGATGTTTTCTTGAAGTACGCCAAGGTGGAACTTACTCCACCAACGCCAGCTGATATTCCAAAACAAAAATAATTGAAAACTAAACATAGCTAAAATGAGTGACGACAATGTAAGTATCGGGTGCGCCTCGCATAGCATATCGTCGAATGGCGCTCCAGTTGGTGAAGTGTTGGCCAGTGCTGAGCCAGCTACTAACCGGATTGCATTCTTAAGCCTCAACACATACAGCCCATACTCGACCGACTTCAGCGCCTCGTTCTCCGATTAGACGACGAAAGGGTACGCAGCTTGGATGAATATGACCTGCAGGACTGTTGTAATCAGTGACGGAGCTGCAATTACATTTTTTTTGGTAAACGACCGATTGGAGGAGCTGGATTTTCAAGTTATTAGTAGCGAGTTGCCTGGTCAGTTTGCTTCCGCCGTGCTTACATTGGGGACTATTCTTCAGCGTGAGTTGGGCAAGCGGTCTCAGCCCACGCATTGTTCCACGTTTCGAATGAACCCAAGTGAATCCATTATGTACATAGCCAATCGATTGCGCTTGCCACAGCTGCAGCTACCCAAGTTCAGCGGATCCTATACAGAGTGGAAAAGCTTCTATTCCATGTTCACAGCTGGCATTGACAATGAAGCCGAGCTATGACAATTCTAGGTCCACATCGGTGGCAACTAATCAAAATTTATCAGGCTGCGTTCTTTGCACTGACAGCGCTCACGATGTCTAGTAAGTTTTAAAGCGCCTTCATACAAAAGCCAAGCATCATTCCCTGTGAGTCAACTGTCTTTTACTGTCGTAGTATTTTACTTTATTCAATTTGCATATATTTGCAGATACCTATATCTGAAGCAAGCCGTTTTAATTTGGTTAATCAAAAGATGAAGAAGATTATCCCGGCGGTGATAAGTGTGATTAACCAAGCTTCAGGAACGTTAAGGTTCTTGTAGGAGCCGGTTTTAACACCATTGACCATTTTGCCAATGCTCTGACAAATTGCTGGAATATCAGCTGGCGTTGGTGGAGTTAGTTCCACCTTGGCGTACTTCAAGAAACAAACATCGAGCTGAGGCCTTACCTGTTTACAAGTCCCGATCTCTTTGTGGACAAACTCGCCATATTTTCGTGTAATCAAGTCAATGCGCGATGAAACAGAGAATATCTGTCGAGTCTTAAAACTGGACAACGATTAAGTCAGACACCATACTCTACTGCATTTCAGTAACTATAAAGCTGCTGCAGCCCAATTGCAATCAGTGCCACTTTATCTCTATTTACACTCTCGCTCGTCGGAATACTCAACTTTCATCACTGCTATTGTAGCATCTAACTTAATCGATCTTCAGCCAAGCTTCGGAATTGACTATCAAATTCAGAAAACTCGCTTGGGATGGGTCATGTTGATGGAGGTTGTTTCCGTTTAAAGCGGTCTTCTTTGATGGTTTCTCGCGCTCGGGCCGTAGCTGCTGAGGATAATTATTCATAGGAGAGACGTGAGGTACTTCTTGCCTGCTGTATTCGACAGAGTTCGGGGTGAGGACAGGGAAACTTTATTTTAGCTATTTCTGATCAACTTTTATTTTCGTTTTCGACGCTACGTTTTTTCAACCATATCTCCGTTCTAAGACCCTCTCGGCCTAACTGATACTGTAATTACAAAATCAAAAATCTTTCTCCAGCGTTTTTTAATATATGTCACTTACTTTGTGCCAAATTTCTTGTTGCTCCATTGAAGACATTTTCTGTATTTTAGTGGCAGCACACGCTTACTTATTTTCTGTCTCCCTCTTACATCGTCACTGCGTACGCCCTTTGGCCGACGGGAGCCATACAGACTGAGTGGTATAAATGTTGAGTCGCGGGCTTAACTGCAACTCACAACTTTCCCCTTCGATCGACTTCGAATTAGGATGCCGGTTGGAGCTTTGTAGAGCGGAGTTGCTGGCTAGGCTCATATCTGAGATAGCCGAAATTAGTGTTTTCAAGGGAAGGTGTAACCGCTGGTATGATTCTGCTGTTGCCATTTATTGGATTCGGGACAAGACGTCAAGATTCAATATATTTGTCGCAAGTAGAATGACAACAAATTATTAAATTTTCCAACATTTTTAAACCCAGCTGACATTCTCCCGCGAGGGGCCTTTCTGACTGAGCTGAACAAGTCACCTATTTGGGTTCATGGACCTTCTTTGCGGCTCCTCAGATGACTGGCCTGGTTCTTCTGGTAAAGTCGTCCAACATGGAAATTGTGGCAAATTCCAAGAATGCGACCTTGTTTGCTGTCTTTCAACGCGTTTTCGGATAATCTCACATGTTTTGCAACCGGACATCCCAAAAAAAAAAATAAAAATGTGGAATCCACAATTTTGAAGATACAAGAAAATCAAACATAGACTCGTTGATAAACACCAAGTCTAGCCGACTGTCGCATTTCCTACAACTGTCTCTGTTTGTGATTCCAGCCAGGCCCGTTAATATTCCCACTAATAATCTGCAGTCCTTCCGTGGTAGGTGCAGCAGGTAGTGGCTGAGTTTGTCAGTGCGGTCATTGCACATGATTTTCGATGTTCTGCAGGCGGTGGTACTCCACCTACTTTCGGGTTGTGATCCGGCCTGCTTTTTTAGATCGCTTTGCAGCGCTCCAAGGGAGACAGGCACGTTCTCGGTTCTCGTATTCGCCAGCCCGATGCCTTCCTTAGCTAGTACGTCCGCCGTCTCGTTTCCTTCGATGCCCTGGTGGCTGGGAATCCAGTAGATCCGCACTGACTTTGTCGTATTAGGGTATCTAGTGCCTCCCTGCTCGCCAAGACATTTCTGGAACTGACTGCGGACGACTGCATGCATCTTATCGCCCCTTGGCTGTCGACGAATAGGTTGACCGCATCGTGTGCTCTTTCAGTGAGAAGGGCGACCTCTGCTGCTTTCCTGATGGCAAAAACCTCTGCCTGGAATATGCTACGACCAGACGACCAGAACTTGTCGAAAAAACAATGGGGCTTTGAACCTTTTTACTGCATATTTTTCTTAGTTAGGTATTGTTAAAACTATTTAAAAACTGATATTTATTAAACGACTGCAAAAAAAGGTTTTAAAAATTTTAAAAAAAATTGTAGTGTAATTTGTCGGAAAGAAAAATGAGCGCAATGTCGCACAGGTTTGATTGATTCTGTCGAGCAAATCAATATTTTTCATTCAGGCCCGAGATTTTACAGACAACATCTTATATACAAATGATATTTATGCATACCTTAAAAATTGATGAAATAGGATTATTTTCTTTATCGAGCCACTGAATATTTGGCGGGGGGTTTCCATTAGCAGCACAATCCACCGTGTTTCCCGCATTGTTCATAAATTCGATTCTACCAGGAGGTTCGATGGAGAAACTTGGTCCTTGAGTATCGAAAAAGCTTGAGATATCTAGAAATGTTAAACAATATAAACAATTCATTTTTCGTTATATTTTTTTTATCTATCTGCAACAATTTCAAAATACAAGTTCAAATAATAACAACAAAATCAATATTTTTTACTCCACGAATAAAACCGAATTTTCCTGATAGATTCGGGATTTTAAAATTGTTTTAATGAATTATGATGTATGTATACTTGTTACAATTGATATGTGTAACACCCAGAAGAAAGCGTTTCCGTTATATATGTATATTCTTGATCAGCATCAAGCGTGGCCACGCCGCGCACTCTTTGCCGTGCATTATGTGCGCCCTCTGGTGTAGGGGAGCCATACTGACTGAGTATTAATGTCACACCGTTGCCGTTTCAAAACTTTGCCCCACCCCTTTCCGCCCACACAAAGGACGAAAATCTGTTGCATCCACAATATTGCAGATTCGAGAAAACTAAAAAACGCAGAATCATAGTTAACGACCATATCTATCAGATTGCTGAATCTGGATCAGATCAGATAATTTGTATAGCCAAAAGGAACAAATCAATTTGCAGTGGCTACGCAGCGCCCGACATCACGCTCAGACTGATTTTCTGTCTCTCTCGCTCGCACTCGTTGTCGTGTCGTTTAATATTCGCGGCGTCTGCCGGAGGAGAGCCATACTGGCTTAGTATCGGGTATAACTGTAGAGTTGCGGTGTCCGCAGCAACTCACAACGTTCCCCCGTGTTTTGTAATGTTTTCTTAGAGGTAGTGCTTTTTTTACATAATATCTTACATCTGGTTATAAGGACTTTTAAATTCTGAAAATGTAAAAAATAGAGCTGCAAACTATAACATTTTTTTGTGCTAGAGTCGAAAAAAATTGTTCCTGAGTTCCGGCCTACCGGAGGCCTCAGGACGGATCGCGCATTGCGGATAGCGATCGGCCTAATACGATCATTCTCTATGATTGTGCGTTTTTAGTTTTCGTATCTTTAATATTATGGATGCAACAGATTTTCGTCCTTTGTGGGAACGGCAGGGGTGGGGCGAAATTTTGAGATTTACGTTTTATAGTGAGATCTAACAGGAGTGTGGATACCAAATGTAGTTACTCTAGCTTTAATAGTCTCTGAGATTTGTGGATGCCCCAGATTTCCGTCCTTTGCCGGGGCGGAAGGGGGTATGGAAAAATTTTGAGACAAAAAGGTCAAGGACCGATATCACAGGAGTGTGGATACCAAATTTGGTTGCTCTAGCTTTTGTAGTCTCTGAGATCCTTGAACTCATATTTTGCAATAGGCAAAACCGACCAAGAAACCTGTGTGTTAGAGAGAGACAGAGCGAGAAAGAATGAAATTGTTTTCTCGATTCTGGCTATAATTATTATACGATCTGGTTCAGACTTTGCATTCTATAAGATATAGTCATCATTTACGATTCGGCGTTTTTAGTTTTCTCGTATCGTCGAAATTGTGGATGCCACAGATTTTCGCCCTTTGTGGTGGCGGAAGTGGGCGGGGAAAAATTTTGAAGTATAAACCATGACATATTACAGAAGTCTGGATATAAAATGTCGTTGCTCTAGCTCTTATAGTCTTTGAGCACTAGGCGCTGATGGGGACGGACAGACGGACAGGGCTCAATCGACTCGGCTATTCATGCTGTTCAAGATATATATATATAGTTAAATATGCGACACTGCAGTTTACGTTTTAAAAAAGATTTTATTCTTTCACTTAAACTTAGTATACATTGATTAGTTATTTCCCCGACGATGACTGATGTCCGATGTCTTGAATGTAATTAACTTTTGTTGAATTCTCCGACGGTGTTGCGATTGACGTTTGTCTTGAACAGAACTGATTTGCCTTCTTAAATGTAGACTATTTATATCATGATGCTCGGCTTGGGATTCGGATTTGGATTCGGCTTCGGAGATGGAGTACGTGACTCGATCGATATGTGGGAAAGGCGGCTTTTGATGAAAGGCTTCCGCTGCATATGATCGGTGTTGCATTACTTGGGGGTGGCTGAGAATAGGGCATCTGATTGGTCAGCTACGATGGCGTGGTTCTTGAGAATCGATTAGTAATTGATCTCTGAAGAGTGGCGTGATTCTAATGCGGCAGGATTTTAGTGCGGCTGGATTCTAGTGCGGCATCTATTGTTTTATGTTCCACTTCTAGCTTAGGGTGTTTGTTTACATTGCCTGCAATCGGCTACGCGTGGTCCATTTCGAGCGTGAGATTGTTTATGGGGTTAAGAAGCTGAGAGTGTCGGATTGTTTATAGTATTGTGGGTGCAGGGTAATAGACATAGACAAGGGTATGCGGAGCATGGACTATAGATATGTCACTCCCCCATTGTTAGATTTAAGCCTGTCCTCAGGCGATTATCCTTGGATATAGTTCAGGTGCGTCTAAAACTGTGCCTGCTGGGGATTCCCCGTCTTCGTCTAAGGATGTTTCTATGTGCGGGTCGGTTTTAGGCTTATTGCTTTTACTTAGATTAAACAATTTGTAGCTTAATCCTATTATGATTATGACAAATAGTAGTATTAAGCTTACATGTAATAAATTATTTAATCGCGTATTTTCTATTACGATTTCTTTGGTTTGCAAATAAGACAGTGGTTTAATTTTTGTTACGTTATTGTTGATGTATATGCTCTGTGCAAATTCTGGTATTGAGTTGGATATTAAGAATTCGTTTAATTGTACACTGCAATTATGTATTTTTATTAATGCGTTACCTTCTACTTTTATTTCTTGGTTTAGGCAATCTTGGTTTAATAAGGTTTTTGGTAATTTCCAAGCTAACAATATATTGGGTTCTATGAAACTTATTTGAAAGTTTTGGTGGGCTTTGGTGTATGGACATTTTGTTTCTACTTGTTTGACTATTCCTGAAATACATTCGTCAATTATTTTTCGTTTTGATTCTTTTTCATATACCTCGTTTTCTAGAATGTAATAATTTTTTTGCGTTAGGTCAGTGAGGATGTTATTATCTTCATCTGGATATGGAACAATTTTAAGTATAGGAATATTTCTGATCTCTCGTGGGATGTTGGAAATTATTAGTATTTCGTTAGTGTCTGATTTCAACCAAGTAGATGTTTTGATATTTAATAATTTCTCTGAATCGATGTGTTTCAGGTAATCCTGCCTCAATAATTTTGGATTAAAGATACCTAATCTTGTTAGCTGCATGCCTAATTCAATATCCTCTATATACTCAGTAAAATGTTGAAGGTTAAATATTAATATTTCTAGTTGCTTATTTCTGTCATTATCCTTGTTTAATTTATTGACAACTTCTATGCCAGAATTTACTGCTTGAATTACTAAGTTTAATTCATTAGCTTGAACACTGTGGCTAGCAAGATTGTGTATTTTCACTTCTAATTCGACTTTATCATCTTGATCTAACGTTCCAAATAGATATTTACATATTGTGCCTACTGCATTTATAAGGCCTCTTTTGTTTCTCTTGGCTATTTTTATGCCGTTGAATTCACGTTGCAATTTCTCGACTAAATATTGAACTTGGATTTCGTTATTAACTTGGGTTGCCTGTTCTAGTAAACTCTGATATGTTTCCTCTGTTCTTGTTATATTAATTGTTAGATAATGGTATTCATAATTAATGGGTATGTTAATGGTATTTGTTTTGAATATGAGATATCCATTCCTTGAGTTGATAGGATCTATCTCTATATTCAGTCCGGTAGACTGTAGGACCGTGAACATTAGTAAGATTATAATCTTAATAATGTTGTAGCTCCGGATTCCCAGTACTCTCTTCGGGTACTCTGCAATTATCGTTTTTACTTTTATTAGATTTTTTCTTTCTTTTGAATTTCGTTTTATAGTGGGTGATTTTCCTCCCTCTATTTTTCTCTTCAAAGTGGTTTTCGTCTACCTGCCTAATTTCCCCTGTTCTTTTGAACGGGTTAGTTGTTTTTCTTTTAACTAGGGGTGCATTCTTGTAGCGTGTGTCTACTTCAAAGTCAATTCGATCGTTATTCAAATGATTGATCTTCCTAACTTTATTCAGTTGGGTGTTATTATCTGGTAGTCCGGCGTACAGGAAGATATCGGCTGGGGATCTTTTTGTAGTATTATGAACCGTTTTATGGTTATAAGTGTATAGAATTAACTCGAATTTTGTGAGCTTGTTTTCTATGTTATCCTCGCTTGAAATGATTCTTAATTTTTCATTGATCGTTTTATGTAGCCGTTCTACATCAGAAACTCCGTTTTTACTGGTAGTGATTTCGATTTTCACATTTTCCGCATTCAACCATGCTTGCAATGCTGCGCACATAGAGGCTGAATCTTTGTCGGCTTTAATTCCCTGTGGCTTGCCCATTTCGTTAAAGACTTTTATGATGGCTCTCTTTGTTTCTAACCAGTCACGACTCTTAACTTCTACAAGGGTAGCGAATTTAGAATATACATCAATGCATGATAGGAATTGTTGATTGCCTACCAAATAGAAGTCCATGACATACTTTTCTCTGATATTTTGTATTTCAGGGGTGATTTCGAAGGTTAGATTGGTGTTACGATGCTCTGTTTTAGCAACGTTGCACGTAGGACAGTCATTGATAATATTTTGGATTAACTTTTGATAATCGGGGTAGTAGAATATTCCTTTAAACCAATTAGTGGTCTTTTCGATACCTGGGTGAAGTAGCTCTTTAGGATTCTTCAATAGTAATTCATTTTCTATTGCTGAATAATTGATTTCATGTTCGTTTAAGGTTCTACTTGCATAGCAAATTGGTTTGTGGTCTTGCGACAACACTGCTCCTAATGCAATGTTACTTGCATCGGTTGTTACCGTGAACATTTTGTTGAAATCTGGGAATGCGAGGATGGGGTCTGAGGTGATAAGTACTTTCAACTTTTCGAAGGCCTCGACGTATTTTTCCTCGGTTGGGTCTATGACTGCTCGTTTCTTTAATTTGAGTGTCATTGGTTTTGCTATATTAGCAAAA